AAACCGTACCTGATGGTCTTATAACCAACACCATTGAGTTGGAAATGAAAAACTGGCCATCAAACATGCATCGCATAACCTTAGTAAAGTTGGGCTCATGTGGTGACCTTTGGTGACCTTTGGTGACCTGACCTGTGACCTGACCTGGTATGACTAGTGACCTCTAATAGCAACATATGTACTAGACAACTGACGCCTTATCGCTGATTTTCGACAAAATGCGTTTTACTCGGTGCTATAGCGCTTTCCCTAGAAGCCCCGTGAACGGTGAAACATTTTATCTTTCACCTGACCTGTGACGTCATCGGGGACCCCGAGGTCTATGAAATTTGGGTTCCCTCGACAAATTTGACAGGGCTATCGAACGCCGTTTGAATTTTCCGGATCCGTCCAGTAGTTTCGAAGATACGGGGTGGGGGCAAAAAAATGTTCCCCCCCCCACCGCGCGGAAGGTGGCTGGGAGGCCCACCACCTGCCGGGTTAAGCTAAAATTCATAAGAAAACTTTCGTAATGAACTCTCCTTGAAATTATGAAAGGCTATTCTCAGCTATTTTCAAGTACAAATGCTCCATGCATATTGCACAAGCACTAAAAACTGAATTCCATTGAAACTACGCAGCACTTTCGGGATGCGAACCCTCGATACACGCATCTGTAGCCAGACTACCGCTCGAGCAAAATTGGGCCGGGCGCCGCCGCGCTGAGAAACGGCATACGGCTTATAACTGATACCACTCCTCCGAGGGCTCAATCTTATAAACGCCGTGGAATGGATATGGCAGCACTGGCTGAATTTCAGCTGCAGAAAACGGCTATCAAATGCAAAATTGTTTTCACGCATTTCAGTCCATCGTATGTTGACGGTTCACAGAATCATTTCGTTGACTCGGATAACCGTTTGTCAGCACTGGTATCACTGTTAATGTTACCAAATGCCGTAAATAGAATAAAATGCCGTACTATTCTATTCTATTCTATTTTATAAGATTGGGCCATGCAGTGCCAAATCTTATACCTAAAGTGCCGTACTATTCTATTCACGGCATTTGGTAACATTGACAGTGATACCAGTGCCAACAAACGTGTATCCGGGTCGACAAAATGATTCTTTGGACTTCAACTGAACATACGATGGACTGAAATGCGTGAAAACCATTTTGCATTTGATAGCCGTTTTCTGCAGCTGAAATTTTGGCCTAACCTGCCTTTAAACATGCTTGTAGATGAAGGCGCCACCACATCATTGATTGCATTACGAGTATATCAAACTAATTTATTGAGAACACCAGCCAGGCAATCTGAAGAAACTACGAAGTGGCGCGGCGCGATTGTTATACGAAATTACGACAGTCAAGGCTGCAAAGAAGCAATTCGTACAGAAGATTTTCCTTTTTCTCCTTGATGCTCTTCATTTTCCCTCACAGGGCTAAATATCGTTAAGATCAAAACTGACAATAACTTTATCTTCGAATCCAAAAATTCACGCAACAAATTTATGCGTCCATTACATCACAGATATTACGAACTTGAATTACGATGACTTCAAAAACGCCAATGACGCTGATTGGTCCTTACTCGAGGATTTGTCGTTAATGTCAAATGATGCTCCGTAATTTCGGTAGCGTTACTCAAACTTATTCCGGACTCCAGGGAATTAAAAAGGAATTGACATCAAATAAGCCTGACCTGGCAAAATTCACGCCTCACGGATAGCCGTAAAATATTACTTTCATGACGGGAGGCTTTTGAGAATGGATAACCATGTGACATGATATCAACAAGGAAGTTATAGTCTGTTTTTATTCAAAAGGTGTTTGGCTTCAAGTTCATTACGGAGCGAGCGAAGCGAGCGTAGTCTTTCCTTAGATTAACGGAAATTTCTGAGTATGAGCGGCCGGCCGGCCGGCCGTGGTCACGCTTTTGCGAGGCTTATATCTCAGCAACCACTTGACCGATTTACATGCGGTAATTTTTGTAGGGTAGCTTCATTCCTTCTACCAAGTATTGCACTATTCCCGATGCATGTGCGTGACCCCTTATGCACGTGCCACGTGCAAAACCAAGAGGTGTCACTTTTGTAATTGTTGCAATATCTCGGTAACTACTGGGCCGATTGCGCTGAGAGTTGGCACGTAGGTAGGCACCCACTAGGCGATGCATATCCATGTGCCAGAGTTGGGGTGCTGTTGCACGTGCGCACGTGCAGGGGTCGTTTCCAGATCTCGAGAACGGCTGGACCGATTGCGCTCAAATTTGGTACACGGTTACGGAGCAGTTAGTAGGGTGCCGTGCACAAGTCAGTTGGGACCCATTTTGCACGTGCGCACGTGCAGGGTGCCGCTTCCAGATCTCGAGAACGGCTGGGCCGATTGTGCTCAAATTTGGCACATCGCTAGAGACCGGTTAGTAAGGTGCCCGTGCCGTGCACAAGTCAGTTGGAGGTACCCCCTCGCAATTTCGCACGTGCAAGGCCCACCCTCTCGCTCGCTCCGTTAGCCGCCACAAAAGGCGTTATACTGGTTATCGAAGTTCTCACGTGAGTTTTGACTACTCCAGCGTCTGGCAAAGAATTTCTTACCGTAGAACAGGGGTGGAGATCTGTCAAAATTTCAGGGGGGGGGGGGGGGTCCAGGCCGGGCAGATGGAGGCGGGCTGCATGCAGTACCATTGACTTACATAGCAGTAATTCGTTTTCAGGGGGGTCCTGACTCCCCCCCCCCCGACCCCCGAGATCTCCACCTCTGCCGTAGAAATGCTCGAATTCAAATTGTGCTTGGTAAATACATGGAAATTATGTCTACAAAAATTAGCATGCTATGATAACGTCACTACTCGTGGCAGCTGGCACCCTATGTCCATACGAAAGCACGAATTTTCAGCGAATTTCCTTCACTGTTAGTGACGTACGAATCTAATAAGCGGTTCTGTCCGTGCTAGTTTTATGTACATTAGGGGAGAGTGGGGTAAGATGCCCAGGGTGGGAAAGACGCCCCACCCCCTCTAGCGGCGAAACAAAGAATCGAACCTGGAAATTAATGTTCTTAGCGTAAAGCGGAAGCCTGCCTTGTTAACTGCACAAAAATTTGCGAAGCTCAGTTGGGCAACGGCTGGCTGGTGATTGCATGTTTTTTATTTGCTGCTTTCAAAAAATATTTTGGTGTCAAAACATTGTTAATATCAAAGAAGGTAGATAATTTTTGCGTCCCTTGCTATAGTCGTGATAAATTAGCATGCGTGTACTGTGTCCCAAACAGTTTGTTTCAGGGTGTAGTTTTATGGCTAACAAATTGTACTGATTTAATGTTACCTCGGCACCTTGGGGTAAGATGCTCCCTGTCCTGATGGGGAAAGACGCCCCCCTAAATCCGTAAGCTGTCCTTCAAGCAGCCCGTCAAATCATTTATTACATGCCTGTGATGAGAGACAAAAGCCGATCTGGGACTATTGAGAGTCCAGTACGGTCGGGTACTCCCCATGCCGGTCTCTCGGCCCACACAACGACTTTTTGGGCGGCATCTGACTCTGAGAGCCCTTACGACGGCCTCTGTGGGTCACATTATTGGCTCCAGGGCCCCTCACGACATCCTTTGAGGGCTCCCACGTTGGCTCCACGGGCCGCGCTGGCATCTGAGGTCCCCACGATGGGCTCGAGGGCCCTCAAGCATCATGAAGACCTATAAGGGCACCACAGTGGTCTCCGAACGCCACCACGGAGGCTTGTTTGGCCGCGCTGGACTATGATGGCCCTAACGATGACCTCTGAAGCCCCTTACGACTACTTTTGAGGGCCCTTACGATGACGTTTGGTGTCTACTGCAGGCCCGAAGGGACTACTGATTCGTCCAGGCGATTCACGTGCCCATTTATGTCATTTATAGTGCAGGGGGCATCTTCCCCAACGCCAGGGGGCGTCTTTCCCACCCTGTGGGGTAAGATGCCCCCTTTCACTTCTTAAGGAAAATGCTTAATAGCAAAAAAAGTTATCATATTTCAAGCACGAAAGTGTGATATTTTTGGAGAAAAATGATGTCGGCTTCCATTGAAACTACAAGTTTTTGCTTTCCGATCGTCATTTTCGAATAATATATGACATAGTAAAACCCTGGGCATCTTTCCCCACTCTCCCCTACATTGCAGACAGTTCCACAGCATGACATCACCAATGTTCTAATATCCAGCTTAAAAATGCACATATGAAAATTATCGGGAAGAAATCACTTGTTATAACTTATAATTGAGCGACGTTCGATTTTCTCAGGTTCAAAGTTTGCCTGTTTTGCTGTATAAAACGCGTGCTTAGTTGAAAAAAGTACTTTGAGCCAAACACCTTTTGAGCAAAAACAGACTAATGGCCGCTGGCATGACATATAGCGCATTTATTCAGTTTTTTTTAGGGTGCCAAAGGAGGAAATCACCGAGTCATGCATTTAGGAAAAATAACCGAGTTATAGACAGAATCCGCCTAATACCAGGAGTCCAGGACCCACCCAGCCAAGTCCCAAAAAGGCCGTGAATGTGTGGGCATGAGAAATGTGCTGTGGGCAAGTATGAGAACAGGTACTTCACCAGCAAGCTGCAACGAACGCCAACGGCCAGTTCCATCGGGCACGCAACGATCAGGGGTGACCGAAATGCACACACGCACACACAACCACAACGCTGACGTCTGTACTCACCGGTCGGAGAACGACAGCAGCACCTCTGCTTGTTCCCGGTCTCACGACCCGACCAAGTCGGAGAGAAGCACGCCGCACCACGGCACAGCAGCGACGCTCCTCCGGCCTGCGCCAGCCGACGACGACTGACGGGGGCGGCGCGGCCGGGGGTTGGCCGGGGGGAGCTCCCGCGCCGGTGTGGATCCACCCCCTGTCCGCCTCGGCCAATCAGCGCGCGGCGCGCCTACTGCGCCGCGGCTGAGCGGCCGAAGACGCGCATGGAGCCGTGGGACGCCGGCCTCTCCCACGCTCTGGGAGATAACACGGAACTTTGGCCGCCAGGTGTCACTGTAGGCGTTCCTGCTGATTCAATTTGCGCCGGTGCCGTTCGGAGCAGTGTCGTGCGGTGAAAGTGGGTGAAATATTGAGGAAGTAGTGGGTCACATGTGTCATAATACCTAAATTTGGAAGAAAATGGCCCAGTGTAGTGTCTATGGCTGCTCGGAGAATGGTGGGTTTGTATTTTCTCGCGACAAGAGGCCGAGGAAGATAGATATGGCTCAGGCTTGGCTCAGGCTGCAACGGATTTCATCCCACCAAACACTTGATTGTGTGTCGGAAGCATTTCACCGACGATGATTTTTTGGAAAATACTGCCTACGGTAAGTTTTTATGGTCATGCGCAGCTTTGTATCTAAGATATACCCTATCATTCGCCACCCGGGGAACTGGGAAGTCACCTACCGGCTACCACCATAAGTAGGTATCAAACGAAAAATGGGTCTGCTTTTCATGGAATATTCATGTCCTAAATGCTACAGAGGTCAACAATCATTTAATCTTAGAATTATACAACTACCTTTATTTGTACAAATTATTGCATGCTTCGTAGGCATCTCGCATCAACATCACAGGTGAGGTACGTATACTTCATGATCCATCAAAGTTTAAGGCAAGAAAACACACTTCACAGTGCTATAAACAATGACGTGCATTGTCAAGGGCCAGACAACAGCAGAAGAGGCTGAAGAAGGGGGTTATTCCATCTGTTACTCAGGGCAAAGCACCAGCTTCAACTGCTTCAGCAATTCGTAGGCAGGCTAGGCGCAAGGAAAAGGAACATGGCCAGCTGTTGGACAGCTTGGTCAGTGCAAACAACTAGAGCTTAGATGCTGTCCTTAACCTGCAGATAAGATGAATAGGTTTGTGCCTTGTGGCACTATTTATCTATAACTGTTTATCGTTATTGACATTTGAGCAATGGGCAGACGCTGTCAGATCCAGACAGGATAGGAGATTCTCTGTTTTGTGATTTGGATGGCAGATGTAAGGGGATCACTTCTCAGTTTGTTTTTTTGAAAGGTTGTTTATCCCACAACTCAGACAAGTCACAAAAGTATACTTAACTGGGCAAATTGTATGTTCAATCTAAAGTGTTTTCACCTTTTGGCAGATGGTAATTGCTGAGAACCAACCAGTGGTAATAAAAGATGTGCATAAAGTTTCTGATAATGGTCTATCTCATGCCTTGTCAGGCTGTATTCAGTATGTATGAAGCAGTTAATACAAATTTTATTGTTTTCACAGGTACAAGAATGGGCTCAACAGGCAGAGGAAATGGAGAAGAGTGCACCACCTCCACCAAACGTTGCTGCTTATGAAGAGTGCAACACTGAAGGGGGGTGTGCTGCACCACTGCGGGGCTATCTGATGGTGCTGTCAATATCAGCACCAGGCAGGGTTCAATGTCCAAGATCTGTTAGCCTGTTGTGATGTACGTGTCATAACACCAGCGTTCCTTAAAGTGAAGTCCCAGCTCTCTCCCGCCGAACGCACTCAGTCGCTCGCTATCACGAGGGATCATATCCATGTCGGGCGTATGACTGGTCTGATCAAGACTTACTCGTTTCTTAGGGGGCAAATCGATGCCGGTTACGTACCTGTTCTTTCAGACATATTCCGTTCTGTGTGTCTCGTCTGTAGCCTGCAGAAATCGCTCATGCAGGTGGCGGGGATGTGCGCGCTCTGGGACGTTAGCATTAGCAGACTGAGCTTCACCGTCTCATGTTTATTGTACAGTAGGTCTATTAAAAAAGTCCCCAGCACCAGTGGGCGCTGCATTCGCTGAGCCGAACCCCCGTCTGCCCGTCCCATATCGCGCCGGGCTCAGGTCAGGTAGGGTCAGCGGGACCGCTCGTTCCGGCCCGCGGGCGGTGGACGGGCGGCCGGTAACGCTTTCCGCCAGCCAGCCGTAGAATCCAACAAACGGGACGGCCACCGCTCAGCGCAGCGAAACCGGTGTTAAAGAATGGCAGTGTTACCGGTGTTAAAGAATAATCATTCATGGCCACAATGATTATGGGATAGTCATTGTTAGCCCGTGCCCACAGGAATGCCTAGACTGTCACGCCCTGTTGGAGGGGAAATGGGGATTGAGCATCATTCTTATAACTCAGCTTTGGGCATTTAAGTGGTATTCGAAGTAGCGTCAAAAGTAGCAAAAAGCAGAAAAAAATACTTCAGCCAATTTTAGATCGGGTCAGAGCAAAAGATCATGTCACCAGAGGTCATCGATGGTAAAATTTTGCTTGGACAGGGTGCGTTGCGCGCACCGGTGCATTGGGTTTCCAATTTCCATGGAAACATCAACAGACTCGGAAGCTCGTAACGCTAGCGTGGAGCCGAATTCATATCAACCGCCGCAACAATGCATGGCAGCGCAGCGCAGCGTGCTGCAGAGCGGGGCCGTGAAACATCGCCCAGGGCTATCCATGTGTCAGGGCAATCCAACCCACGTGATGGGCTCGGCCCCAGCGGAGCATGAGGCCCAGAACTCCCGCCCAGGCCCCCTGTCTCCCCCTAATTCCTGTCATCCTTCCCTCTCTGAAATCGACCGAAAAAGCCTAACCTAACACAACAAGCAGCTTGTTTACCGCTATGTCTGAATAATATTGTCAGATTTAATTAAGGTCAACGGCTTAGCACGTAAATAACAGCAACTGCCGTCTGCCACCATCGGTATTATGAGAAAACCAATTGCTTTTCCACAAACACTAAAAGTTTTAAGCTAAACTTGCATGAAATTAATTTACCAGCCTCGTGTTCCTCTTATCAAAACTTGATCAAAACGCTTCGAATGAATCAAAAGTTGATCTTTAAAGGTCATTTGAATAATTTGGCCTATGTTCAAAGACATGACCTGACTAGAAATGGTCATGATGCATAGCAGGATATTAGATCCGTATCGTGGAACTTTACAAACACTTTAGATGATTTCATAACTTAAGCATGTCTATCAAAATATTTATTACATGGCTCATGTGTAAGCTGGGTGTGTGATCATGCTTACGAGTATGTTGAACGCAACTGATAATGTTCTGTTGGCCACAATTTCTATATTTGATTTATCCTCCCGGATTTCATATTTTTATTAATGACACCCTGACGATGTCGAGAAAAAAAAACGCTTAGGAGATTTAACAGCCTGAGATACATTCAGTATAAGGAAGGGTCAAGTCTAGGGTTACTTTTACAGGAAAACTCGAGAGGGGGAATTAAGTTCGGGGCAAGGGCGGATCCAGGGGCATCTGAAAGGGGGGCCCAATGCCATTAGGTTTTTGTTAGGATGGCACCTGCAGAACCTTACCTACCCCCAAATCCTACTCTCTCCCCGGATTCTGGCCACTTTATATTGTTAGGTTGCCAAAAAAAAATTAGCTAAAAAATATACGTAGGTAACCTTGGCGGAAAGGGGCGGGGGAGGTCCCAACTTGACTGCGCCCTTGCAAATGTCAATCAGTAGTATCAACCTATTACCCTGGCCAAACATCAATTAGCGCCTTTCTAAATAGAGAGAGGTTAACACGTGACTATTTTTGCTAGGCCAAGACCGATTGAAGGACCCTGGTTCGAAGGAAAACCCCTGGTTCGCAGCGTGTTATGCGTGTTAATGTAAGAGGTCATGACCCCCGTCCCCCGCCAGTTTCTACGCCGACGCCTGTAGCGATATGTCAGTGATTGCGAAGAGACGGAAGAGTTGACCCGATCTTTTGACCCGATTTGACCCGATCGGTGTCGGGTCAAATCTGTAGTTCCCGCTGCGCTGCACTGAACGTAAAATGGTTGGATGGAACCTCAAATTGAAAATTATCTAAGCGCCAGCAACGTTGATTGATGACTAGAGTCTGATCAACGATGATTATAGAATCTGAGTAGCGAATTGATTGAAAATGGGCTCAAAAATAAATTTGAAAGGGGTAAATTCCCCCTTCCCTCCCTAGCCGTTCACGCACAATTTGAAAGGGGAGCGGAATTTTCGAAGGGGGGAAATTCCGCTTTTCCCCCTTTAAAAGTTACCCGGGGTCAAGGGTGCTAGATTCCTTCCGTCCTCGCTATCCTCAGGAAAAACCAATCCGCATCGCCCCTAGTCTTCATGCTTCCCTCTCTGGACTGGAGGTCACCCCACCAGCCAACCTGTAGTTGATGTCGGTTCCATTCCAGGACACATAATCCTCTTCGGGTGACCGTTGGGGAGACGGCTGGACCGCCCCGACAGGGCAATCGTCCCACGGGAACAGTCACGCTTCCGCAGATCACTGTCGCTGGCTCGCACAACCAAATTACTACACCAGAGCATAGTTATGTCATAGAGCTCTGCAAGGGCTTTCTCAGACCAAAAAAGATGGCTCCCAACAAAACAAACAATTTTATCATTCAGTTTTGCATCTCATCAGGCACCACATGTTTTCAGAGTGTTTATTATGCGTTCCGTCCAAAAAAAGCGCAGTTCAACTTTCTCCCATTGACTTCAGCGATCTCAAAATTGACCCGACCTTTCTGTCAGCAATGTCAAACTTGCAAAAAAACGTTTCAAATACATATACTGTTGCCCATTGAAATCGCTGAAGGTTCTAAAGCGATTGGTTAGTCGATGTATTTAGATATGATGAGCACAAGAACTTTCCTTGAGGTAAGGTCACTTAGCGTGACCTGGTGCTATGACCTTGAATGACTTGACTTGGGCGGAAAAAATGGGTCATTTGAAATCTTAAAATGTTAGATTTTAACAATAATTGCAAGCACTATCCCGGCCAAATAGTGAGTGAGAAGGGAGCGATTCCCCAACCCCATGTTTAGCTCCTATAATTGAGCTAACTGCTAGAGCCTCGCGGAAAAAAACGAGCGCTTGCGTCGTTACGTGACGCAGCGACTGTTACCCCATTTTAAAATAGCAGTGACCTCTTAGGGCAGGTCAAGGGCGATCGGTTTTTGGTGAATAACTTCGCCAAAAAATGGTCGTATTATCGTCATTTCGATACAATCGTGTTTTCTGTTCTCAGACGCGTCGATTTATATGCTTTTTTGCTTAGGTGAAGCAATTTAGGATGCTTAGGAGTTAGGTCAATGTCATGTTAGGGCAACACAGGTCACGAAGCTGTTGAAAGGAGGACATGTTGCATAACATTTGATTCGGCAAGTCTTGCAGAGTCCATTGATGGCTGTCCCGACTGGCTAGCTCATTTTGATCGGGAGTTATTGACGAAGCACTCCTATTGACGAGCACTCCGTCACGCAAGGTGAACAATGCAAAGTGAAGCATTAAACCTTGCCAAGAATGTATGAAGTCACGATTTCATGTGCTTGAGGTATAGTTTTTAGGTCATTTCCGACGCCAAATTAACAGTTTCCATATTTTCCCATTATGCTTATATGACACTAAGTGCGTTACGGATTTGCATCATTTTATAACCGACAACCGTGCAGTCTGCAGAGCTTTACTTAAGACGTCATAGTTAAGTGACCTGACATGGAAACGTGGTTGATTTCAAATGATCCGGCTTGAATCAAATGTAAGGCATATGAAATGTCAGCCTTCTATCATCAGTGTGCTTTGAGCTACCGCAAAAAATACATGGTGGCGGCATCCATCCCCTCTTCTCGGCCGGCGAGGGTTAAACCTCGCTTCGAATTATTGCAGATAATGATGCGACCGAAAACAAAGCATTTATCTGTGTCTAGAACGGCCGCTGACTTGTTGGACAAGATCCCCAATCTTAATTTGCTAGATGGGAATAAAATACTCGGCATATGATACATATATACCCCACGATTTGCCCTCGCGCTAAGTCAATTCTAATCATCACTGTCGTTTTTTTATCCAAGATGATGTCGCCGCTAAACGGGTTGTTTTGTTTGCTTGCTTGCGTTGAATGGTCATTACGGATTATTGAAGTATTATGATATAGGTAATAGGAATGGGGCAAGGGAGGATATGCACTGCAGTGCAGGTGTTTAATTTAGATCACAAAGGCATCATTTCCGGCATCGTGCAGAGTCATTATCTTCCCCTCCTCTGCACTGCGGCATCTCTGCGCCCCACACACGGCGTCCTTACTCCACGGCCGGCCGCCGCCAACTGACCCACTCGCCGGGCGCCGCGACCTGACCCGTGTCACTGCCGCGGCCTGCGCAATAGAGTCGGGGCTGGAATCCGGGGGTTCGGCCGGCCGGCCGCCTCTGGAGCGGGGGACTTTTTTAGTAGACCTACTGTACATGCCTACATTTGTGAATGGTGCATTGGAGGGCTACATGTGTATGCTGGTGCACAGTGCATTGCTTGAAAGCTGTATGTTATTTGGTAATCGGTGATATTGAATGCTTTTGAGTTTTGGAGCTTGCCTTGTCGAAGTGGTTTAGCTAGTAGGTACTCTGCTATGTTTCGATGTCAGTTCAATACACCGCTGTTGACTATCATACACTGCTTCAAAAGCTATGTGTTTTATTCGCCATCGCGCAGTGACGCTCATAAGTCATGAGTTCATT